TTTCAGTTAATTATGCATTTTTCCAGCTATATATAACATATGGTCCCTTGAGGATTCTGAAACATATTTATGCCAATTAAGTTAACATGTCTTGCATTTTCATGCTGATCATTTGTTAAGTCAAAATCAGTTGCTGGTAGCCTAAATAAGGCTGGAACCATATACAGAGACCTTTGAGGAGTTAAACATGAAAAAACATTGGAAAAATGGTTTATTATACAGGCTCTATGATGTTTCACATAGCTTGTTTGAAGCCTGTTTTTTTGTACCTGTCATTTCTCTTCCTTACAAACCAAAATAAACTAAAAGAGGTATTTAACGTTGCATGCCAAACTGAACATCTAAGCAGAGAAATATGTGACTTGAGTAAAACAGCTGACATCTCTACAAATTCTTTCCAATTAGTGCTTTATTCACCAAGAACAGAATCCTAGGAATCTGCTTATATCATTTTATCTGGAGGCTGTAGAACAGTTTATGAGCAGGAGATTCCATGTTCTTCACTGCAATTATATCCAGGCAGGGACTGCCAGGTAGAAGACATCACAGAACCAGAGGCTTTTTTTATGGAAATAAAGAAAGCAATGTGCAGTACTATAAATCTTCCTTAATATGGAGTTTGTTAACAAATATACTATTATGGCATTTTACATTGCTGTAATTCTCTGGTTGATTTACCAGAGATATAGAGTCTGCTCACTTAGCAGGATGAATGTTTACTTTGCAATGTGAATCATAGTAAAAAGGGTGAACTTGTGTTCACTTTGTAAACCCAATCAGGTGTGAGATAGAAAAGGAAAAAGCATTTTTTGTAGCACATGACTGGTTGATTATGTGAACACAGCTTCATATTATTGACTTAGCTCAGTGAACATTAAAGGGACACTAAACTCAGAAGTTAAATCTTAAAAGTGCATTCGTGTTCCTTAACTATTAACAATACTGTACCTTATTTGTGTATCATTTAGCTGTAGATCCTCAAATCATGATGGACTACAATCTCAATACAAATTAGTAAACTAAACATGAGATTGTATTCCATCACAGGAGCAAACTTCGAGTGGTAGCTACTTTACAACACACACAGGGACCATGGGGAACAAAAGTAGCCACCCTCCAGAAGGACGGACAGTGTCAGCACCAATTCATAGATGATTTGAGGATCTACAACTGAGTGATATGTAAAAAAACAACATTTTTGTTAATAATTAAGGTACTTGAATGCATTTTTTAAGATTTAGCTCCTGAGTTTAGTGTCACTTTAACAGTGCAAAGTGAACATTAATTTCACAAATTGAACTGTCTATATGCCTTTAGTAAATCAACTGCACTGCATATCACTATAGTGTGCCTTGGATATACACCTGCAAGAAAACATCACAGCAAAGGGCTTAATATAAACATATGTAGGTACTCAAGTAGGCTTAATCAATACAGCAGTATAACAGCAGTAATGATGTGAACGTTGATGTACACCACAACAACCTGATTTTATTTTTAAATATTTGGTGAGTGAGTGAGTGAATAGCCGAATGCCGCTGAGCGTCATTCGGCTAGGCTGTTCTGCTCGGTCTCTCTGTGGGACCGAGCAGAACAGGAAAATAGTTAAAAAAGTACAAAAAAATAAATAGAAAACGATTGTGCGGAGCTAGCAACGACAGCCAGCTCCACCCAACAGTTTTCTATTGGCCGGCGGTTCTGCTGCCGTCAAAGAAAAAGAGAAAAAAAAAACACCCGGGAGCAGGAGCCTCCTGCTCCCGGCCGCCCAGGAGAGAAACACTGCTTTTTCTCTTTTTTTCTTTATTCTGACACGGAGCCTCCCGGAGCGCCCGGGAGAGTTTGCTGTCTGACGATCAGTGTCCCTGGTTAGCTGGTAACCAGCAACGCTGATCTCTCTGCAAGTGACCGGAGCCAGCCGTAAGATCACGGCTAGCTCCGCCCAGCTGTCAGAAGCAGACTGAGCCGCTCAGCTAAGTTCGGGAGCTGTACGGGCTATTGTGAATAGCCCGTACAGTAGCCCTTCAGTTCTACTGAACCGAAGGGGTCCTGGGGCCGTAGCTAGCCAAAGGATCGGTCGAAGCTACGGCTAGATCCTTCGGCTGCTTCGTGAATAGACCCCATAGTAATTTATAAAAGCCATCAGATTGACTTCATGTATGCATACGAGCTGCCTCTGCACATTATTAAATGCATTGGCAGGGCTTTGATTGACACCTATGCATAGCAATGTTCTTTACTGTTAGCTTTTATATCCCTTATTATAAGCAGTAGGGTTGAAGGGTCAATTAATATTTAGCTTAGGGTCCCAGTTACAGTTGCAAGTATTACAACCCTCATTTTTTTTTACAAGTATTTGAATACCCAAAAGTTCCTTATTTTATTCTATTAAAACCCTTTCTTTGATATTCCTGAGAAGAACACGTGCGAGCAAAAATAGTACAATTAAATACTAAATATGATTTATATGCTCTCATTTAAGTAAACAGCCCTAAGCACTTGGCTACTTTATCTATTTTTTTACTAAATGTAACCAGGCAGCAGAAACACACTTGATTGATCTCACATGTAAGAACAATCACATTTCATTGTGTGAGATGAAATCTTCAAAGCAAGTACAATCTTTACATTTAAAAGGGGTATTTCTAAACATGTTTTGCATCCATAAAACTGATTTTTTTTTTTTACAATTCACCCAACATATTTGTGTTGGCTTAGTGGATATGGGCTTCTATGGGATGTGTTTGTATCCTGTGTACAATAGGTAGAGTTAACTTATGAACAAATAGTAGATAGCACATATATTATTGGTTAAACCATGAAACTGTACTATTGTAATACTTAAAATAAGAACGTGCTGATTTTCCTGAACCACCATACATGACCACATAACCATCCCCAAAATGTAGTTTTCTATGAAAAATTAATTTATATCAATTCTTTAAAGTAATGCAATGTAAAAAATGGACTGGTAAATAGTCATTGAATTCCTTTTAAAACCCGTTCCTCAGTATTTCTCTGCATAGACCTATTTGCTATTAAGGCAAAACACAGTACACTGAGCCCTTACATTATTCTGATTCTTAAATTACCCAGTTGGATTTCATATGTTATATCTTCCAGGATATTGGTTACATGCATACGATGGTATTCTGTACATGCACAGAATAAAACCAATATGCTCACTTTAGTATATCACCAGAAACTACAGTATTAAGAAAATAACAATTTTTGTATCCTAGGCATGTCTTCTTGCCACTTACAGCTTCTAAATAAGAGAATGAAAGATTTCTATGCAGTTCCTCTCTATACATGATATACCCTGCTGAGAAAATAACATAGTTTAATAAATGATACTCCTGCTGCCAGTCTATTAATATCTAGACTAGAAGCCTGTGTATAGATACATTGAGTCCCTGTGATTTGAGACCTGTTGCTTTCTCCAAATGTATTATGGAGTCGTGTTACTCTGCATTCCTATTCATCTCCATACATCACACATTATTATGAACATTGGCCATATTATTTTTCTGAAGATTCTTCACAACGCTTCTTTTACAGTGGGAATACTCCTATATCAGTGTGGGGAATGAACCTGGATATTATTAGAAATCCTCGAATAAGAGCCAAGCTTAATGGAAAAGAACACATTAATGTAAGTACTTGTCAGTGTATTAATTACGACTTTACCTGATCATCTGGTGCCCTCTATTTTCACAGTAGTTATTTAGAATAGGGCTACCTGTGTTTAAGCCTGTAATCGACCATCATCTTCAAAGTACCATTATGGAAAAGAAAATGCATTTTCATTGATTACCTGGAGATGAAAAGAGCACATATGTATTTACCTTTTAAGTAGCAGGGGACAGAGGCTGTAAGGTAGTTAGTGATAAGAAGCAGATGCTCACTGCTAATGTCACAGTCATCAAAAGGGCACCAGGTTCACTCCCTACTGGTCCTTTGTGCCCAAAGAAAATTACTGATAATGTATACTTAAACCATCATATCTGTGTAATGCTACAGCTGCCAGACCCTCTTCATATTAGAGTTAGTGGAAGTATAACTGTATCTAAAATCTAAAATAGTTATATATCTTTTACCATATAGAATGTTGTGAATATTTCACTGTAAACCATTTTTAGAAATAAGCGAATTGTCAGCATTTGAAAAAGGTTTTCTGAATCAATGGCATAAGTGCAAGCTCTGAGTGTTTTATGTACAGAGAATAAAATTATGTCAAGTGTTCCACACGGTAAGGAAAATATAGCTGTCACTAAAAATATGCTATTCTACCATAACTTACAAAAAGTGTTCTACAGCTATAGACCAGGCCTCAGTATGTTTGTGAATTCCTTTGTTCCTATTTTGGATGGCCTTTGTCCTTTTGATTGCTGAAAGTTTAATTTTAATGCGTTCTTGGTAATATACACTTAGATATGTCAGTTGCTGGAACATTTTCTGAGGAACGGTTAGTTTATAAAAACAATGCTTGTTCTTTCTTTTAGCTTTTCTTTCCTTGTAATGCTTAGCGATCAGTCTTCTCTATGAATACAAAATCGGAAAATAACATATAAGACAAAACTGCAGCTGTTTTAACAGAGATACATTTTTCTTTAGGAAAGGAGCGACTTCTATGTATTGCTGTATATTCATTTTAAGCTCCATGTCATGCTGTTAGTGGCCTGTGAATAAGTAAATGACATGGCTATATCTAGATATTAAATCATTGCCACCCTGGGATAGATAGTATAATCCTTAGACTCCAAATCTTAAGTTCATGGCAGATCTCAAGATTTATGTCCAAAATGTCAGGATTGCTACAGCCCTCTCTATTTCCTGTATAGCCCACCTGAGACTCTCTATGGTGGGCTCTGCAGGCCCACCATAGAGAGTCCCTGATTATATAACACTACTGAATATATGCTGTGCTTTCTCTTTCTCTCTTTTTCTTTCTTATGCTTAGTGAACTCAGGAAAGGAGCTGAATGCTTATAGTGTTCTAATTAAATAAATTACAGTCTGTATACAGGAGAAATGCCCCAATTATGGTTTATTGTATAACTAGACCTAAATTTCTAATCCAGGCCTGCTTTCTCCTCCGCCATCTGACAAGGCACACACCTCAGTGTAGCATACTCATTATCTTATCTTTCATCCTTCCCCTTATCCCTTTGGATTGTAATCTTGAATAGACAGGTCAGTTTCTCCTGTATTTACTCATTGCTGAAGTTGTTGCTACATAACTTTGTGTACTTGTCTTTGGGAAACATATATACTGTGGGAGTTGGGGCACCTCAAGGTCCTCTGGAAAATGAATGAAGCATGCTGTATCACAAGTCACAAATGATTTAAGGTATAGAAGCATGTAATTATATCATATAAAAAATAGATAAAGTATACAACACCAAATACATTGTTGTTTAGAACAACATAATACATTTAAAATAATGAAGGCACATGCAGTTTAAATAAACTGTTTCTTATGGAAAAATAATGTAGCATTAAAAATGGCAGAGCACAGTCTATTTAGGTAACATATGAATGCAGGTCACTGTCCCTGTACACGGTGTTACATCCAGTGCCGGAACTAATAACCAAAGGGCCCTGGTGCAAGATTTTATCTTGGGCCCCCCTTTCCAAGACGGGGGGGGGGGGCGCGGGAGCGGATCACACTGTTCCCCGCTCTAGCCCCCCCCCCCCGCGGTCTCTAATGTTGCATTGTTGTTGCGTGCTGGACTTACCTGAGACCCTGCAGAGCACACCATAGATCCTGTATAGCCCACCTGAGACTCTCTATGGTGGGCTCTGCAGGGTCCCAGGTAGGCTAGTCTGGTCGTCGGGATGCCGCCTCGGTACAGTTGATACCCATGTAAGAGGCCCCCCAGACCTCTCACATGGGTACCGGCTATACCCCTCTGATGGCGGTGTTCTATCAAAGGTTGTGACTACGTTAAAATGTTTACCGGTGACGTGGTCACACGTTTTAACGTAATGCCGCCCAGTTTTTCGGCGGTGGAATGTGTGACCTCCAATACGTGAAGCATTCCAGCGCTTTTTCAGCTTTTCCAGGGCAGATGGGCATCGCAAATCGCATGTGTCTAACCCCCCACATGTAGTTCCGCCACTGGTTACATCTCTACTGAACCAGAGTACAACATGTACCATCTCTGTTGAGGTAAACGTGGGATCAGCTGCTTGCTTCAGTTAGCTCTTATGATTTTCATACCAACAGAAAATCAATAAGAGAGTTATGATATAAGGGCAGATATACTATATTAGATAAAGCCTCTGTCTGCCCTGTGCTCCATTAGTCACAACTCATTCATAATTCTTTGTGTATGTTGCATTTTCCCCAGAAAGAAGCAGTTCCATAGTGAAGGCCACTTTTAAAATAAGTCACATGAATCCATTGCCTGCATCTTATTGAATGGGGTTATAATAAAGGTTCTCAGTGAAGCTGGGGCACACTGGGAGAATAATTATTGGAAGCTGACATTTTTTCCAAACAGGCCACATTTACACCTGTATATGAGTTACATATTGATAGATGTAAATGTATTACCAAAAATGTGTTCGTAAATGTATTTCTAATATACATTGTAGGCTGCACTAATTCGAAGGGCAGGAAACATGCACATATGTTCTTAAGGAGGTTTATAGGAGGTTTAATATGTTACACAAAGAGGGGCAGTGATTTGGGTAAAAACAATTGTTAAGAGGTTTGGATTCCCAAATGTCACGGAAAAAGAGCTAATGTACATGCGATTATACATGTGATTGTACATGGACAAATTGGGCTACCTAACCATTTTCCATCTTGATTCCGACAACCCACTCTGCAACAAACTGGCCATCCAGGATGATGGCCAGATCTGATAGATATGCATGTCTGCCCCAGTTGCTGAAGGACCATATTTTGAGAGGCACAGCAGCAGTAGTTAAATAAGAAGCTCATTCACATTTCAATGCATCCCACTGCACCTTCTATTCCAGTCATTTGTTACCCTAGCAGATAGTGGCTTTGAAAGCCTTTTCACATGCATAAAGGGCATATGTAAATCCTACATCTTACCTGATAATCAAACACCTAAAAGTCTTCAGTTTCCAGTAAAAATATATATATAAACCACACTATTGCATCTGTAGAATAGAACTAGTTGCTCTTCTGCAAAATATAAATCCCAAACTGAAGTTGTATGGCTAAAGAATTACATTATAGATGATGGCTATACATGATTTATACATCAATGTTCCATTTAAAAGTACTAATCATGTTTTCTTCATGTATACTGCTGAAAACAATAAATATGCAGTGTGTAGTCCAGCTTTATGCTGTTGAATAATGATTAGCTAAAACTAAGGGGTTTATTCACTAAGCTGCCGTAGGCAGCCGAGTGAAAGACCGACCTGAAGAGAAGTGAGCAGAACGCTGTTCGGCTATTCACTTCAGGCTGGTACGGCTGAAATCAGCCGTACATCGGCTGAGCGGCATTCGGCCTTAGAGGGACCGAGCAGAACAGAAAAATAGTTTAAAAAGTCCAAAAAAATAAATAGAAAACTATTGTGCGGAGCTAGCAATGACAGCTAGCTCCGCCCAATAGTTTTCTATTGGCCGGCGGTTCTGCTGCCATCAAAAAAAAAAACTCTCCCGGGCGCTCCAGGAGTCTCCTGCTCCCGGCCGCCCAGGAGAGAAACACTGCTTTTGTCAGAATAGCCGTGTCAGAATAGAAAAAAATATATACATTTTGCCCTTTGGAATGCATTGCTAGATTCCTATTGGCTATTTCAATTTGCAATAGCCAATAGTAAACTAGCATTGCACCCTCCGTGTGCTGCAGTTCTCCATCAGGTCCATCAGCAGAAGGTGGGTGCAATGCTAGTTTACTATTGGCTATTGCAAATTGAAATAGCCAATAGGAATCTAGCAATGCATTCCAATGGGCAAAAAAAATATATATTTTTTTTTCTTTTCTGACACGTCTCCATGTCAGAATAAAGGAAAAAAAGAAAAATCAGTGTTTCTCTCCTGGGCGACTGGAAGCAGGAGACTCCCGGAGCGCATAAGGATCGGCCGAAGCTACGGCTAGATCCTTCGGCTGCTTCGTGAATAGACCCCTAAGAGTAGTAATAAGTGGATGTGCTAGCTCATTGCTTAGCTTTTTACCATATCCCTCCTGAACTGTGTATGTACATATCTATAGTTTTCACTCAACCCATTGCACAGAATTGCAGGTACAGCCATTGCAATGCTTTGTAGGTAACTTCTTGCTTATCAATTTCTAGACTGGTGAACCAAATAACCTATAGTCATGGTGATTTGTCCTGGATTGATTTCAGCATCTTGGTCAACCATCACCCGTCCTTACAAGTGGTGTGCGAATGTATTTTATATATACAAGTGATTAAAGATTTAAGAGAAGGATTTGAGCAGACATTTTCTATGAATACTGATTTAATACTGATTTAATGTGTACATTGTGCTTGTCGTAAGGACACCTTGAATTTGTAGCTGCAAACTCTTCATCAGCCGTAGAACTGTACATTCTACAGTGTATATTTTAAAGTAACAATAATGTGCATGCTCTCCAATCTTATTGTGAACTAAACTACAAACATGGGAATAATAGATTAATGTAGGGAAAACATTTCATACACTTACAACTGGAGAAAAATACATATTATGCCCTGAAGACATATATTATTATTGCATGCATGCAGTATAGCTACCTAGGCATTCATATTTAGATACATTAGATAGCAATTCTAGAAGCACCACTTTGTACAATATATAATGAAATGTACTTGACACTACATATATTATATAAACCTAATAGACTTTACTATAGATTTACAGCTGACTAGAAAGTGTACGTGCATTTTAATGCACTTACAGGCTACAAGAGGGGGGACACTGTTACCTTAGCTATCCAAGAATGATAACCCTATTACAAGTTACAAGAAGTATGTGATTGAATTGTTTATCTCAATGCAAATCAGGAAGACACAGGAAGATTTGTCACATCTCTCTCTCTCTCTCTCTCTCTCTCTTCCTCAGGAGACATGTCATGTCTAGTATTTGACATCTGACTATTCCCCAAGCTATTGCATTGTGATTGACTTTTTATATTTATGGGTAAGATTGACAGACCACTCAGGTAAATGGAAATTATTAATAAGTGAGACGATTAATTCAATGCAGGACTGCCACATCTAAATAGAACCCTTTTTTTCAGCTTACCATATTCACAATATATCAATTAAAAAAATGTTTTTTCTTTAGTTTAACTAGACAACTCTTAAGACATGCACACTGGAATGGTTCAATGGTGGCCTACATTGGAGCTTCCATGAGTAGATTTAAACATAATCAGATTATTTATCCATTTTGATAAAAGATGACATATCTTCCTATCCTTTTAAAGGAGAACTCCAGGTGCAATGCAGAATTCAGTCATATTATGCAAACTGAATACTTATTTACCTATGTTTAGTAAATGATAGAGGAAAAGGTAATGATCCACATTGGTTTTTTTCAGCACTTAGCACAGCTGTTCTCAGAAAGTAGCTTCCAATGTCAAAAACAAATGTAAATTAAAATGTGTGCAGCCATGTCACTGACCTTTTACCTATTTCTAACCTGTCACCTGACCTAACAATTAAGTCCAACCTGACCTAAATTGTATTATTAAAACCAGACCTTAAAATCACCCTTAATGCCCATCTACAGGCAAACTTAAACCTCTCTCACATTCCTCCCTCCCACCCACCTATTCATCAGTTTAAATAAAAATAGTTCGAGAGAGTTCATTTTATTCCCAGAGAATTTTTGCACAAGTCATCCTGAATTGAGAAAGCTGGTTAGATGACCAGTGAAACGTCTTCAAGAAAAATACAGCAAGTCCAGTTGTCTTGGCTTATTTTTTACAGATAGTTCAAGAGAAGTTTAAGATTGCCTGTAGATGAGTCTTAGGGGCCCATCGGAGATTGGTGATCCAGAGCTGCAGAGCCGTCTGTGTCTATACAGACCAGTCCCCTCATTATAATGTCTTTATATCGCTGCAGTTCTGGAGCCTGAAAGGACCCTGCCAATTGAAAGGCAGCAAATTAGAAGTGCCTTTATTGCCCAGGTAGTGCTGTGGACACCGAAAGATGGACCATCACCCACTCCCACCCCACAGTTGTAGAAAGAGAGAAGACTCTGCACTTGTCACATGAGTATAGATTTAGGAAAGTATTCAGGCTTTTTAGATTATTATTACATTAGGATCTCTGTTATCTGGTATTCAGCTAACCGGAACTCCCATCTAATCTGCAAAAGAAAAAACCCTGTGTACTGACTGTTCTGCCGATCTGCCACCTTTTAGGAGAGGGAGAGAGGGCTCTGAACCATGGTAAGGTACAGGAACAGGCTGAAAAGTTCTGGATTATCCTGGGAATGAGTTTCTGAACGATCTCTGAAAAGTGTTGTGTTATTGCAACCAGAAACTGAGCTCCATTGCTGCAGTCACTGTGGAGAATGTAATCCTCAAGTTCACATCAGAAGCACTAAAATCATCCAATTCATTCTCTCATTAGCTCAGTTTGGCACCCCCTGCTCCCCCTCCCACCAGTGACAGATCAGTCTTCCATCTATCTAATCTTTATTGTAAATACAGGGCAGGTGTTCTGGTAGGGGGAACTGGGAAATCTGAGGTGCTGGAAGATATGGACTTCACTGCTTCTGCTGCAGCTACAAAGGTCAATTAGGGCTTTTGTTAAATTTAATTTACAGCTTGTTAAAAATATGTTAATAATTGAACGATCCATAGCCTGGCCTCCCAGTAACCTTAAATCTTAAACTAAAATGAGTTTCACCCATAAAGTTGCATATTAACCTTATCCATGCAAGAAATCCTTGGAATTTAAACCTCACAGTACCTGTAGTGAAATCTTAGATTGCAAAGATCTCAGCACAAATTATTTCATTTTATACAGCTGTTTTCCTGCAGTAAGAAAAGGAGTATGTATTTGTAGCTTCTATGTTTACTGGAAAAATATTACATTACACACATTGTAGTTCCATCCACTAGCAAAGCTCTTGTAGTAGACACATCAGGGTATATTTATAAAGCCATGGCATTTACCAAGCATACACTGCTGGTGTATCTTCCTGGTGCACATGTTTGGTGCATGTGTGGGTATGTGATTGATTCACCTGCAGTGAATGTTTGATAAATGTCACATTTACTGCTTTATTAATATACCCCTTAGAGACATAACCTTATCTCCAATATGCTTATTTTAGAAATGCAAAAATTAGGCAGTGTCTGTAGCTCATGGTCAGAAGGGTTAGCAGTATACCTGATGATAATATGTTATTTTACCATAGTTCTATTATAATGGTCACCAGGACCTATGCCAGTTTTCTCTTTTCCTGATTTATGTATTTTTAATAGAGAAAGGATTGTTCCTTTTCATAGGGAAAGGTGAATAAATTATTCTTAATTGGTCACAGAGATTGTTGCTGTGAAATAACAGCATCTAGCACCAAAGATGTTCAAGACACCAACATTATTGCTTACGAAAAATTGGGTCTCTAGATTTTCAGCAAAAAGAACAGGAAATCGTGCTGTTGGCAGCCTACATTATCATCTACACTTGATATTGCAGAGAAACATGGAAAACCGCACAGTAATGAAAGGAAAAGTAATAGTCCCCGACTGCAAAGTTTCATTTCACACTAACAGATCTGCTCCCTGCACCTCATAGTAACATGATACAGTACAGACGTTTTCAGTGCTCTATTGAATGTGTTAATGCACACGATCTTTGTGTTGGAATTATATCAGACATTGAGTTATATTGTAAAGACATATAATGCTTTTGGTTTATATTAAAGCCTTTATCTTTTAATATTTCGGAAAAATAATGAATTAAAAATGAATTATCCTCATCACTACTGCAAAGAAGAAAAGGTTAATTACACTTCAGTATTTGTTCCAGAATACTAATTTCTAATACTCAAAAATTATAATTATATGTGTGACATAATATTTTCTGTAGCACTTACAAAGCTTATTATAACTCTATTAATACTGAAGGCCTGTAAACAGTTTTACAAATGATTTTATGGCTAAACGTGACTTCCATGTTTTTCCTTTTTTTTTTTTATAGAATTGTACAGTATTGAACTCAACTGAGATGATATGCCAAGCTCCAGCTGTGGCCATTAATTCCAACAGCCAAGGTGAAGGCACTGAGCGACCTGAGGAATTTGGATTCATTCTAGACAATGTTCAGTCACTGCTGGTCCTCAACAAGACCAACTTTACATATTATCCAGATCCAGTGTTTGAGTCATTCAGCCCTTCTGGTATCTTGGAGCTGAAACCTGGAAGTCCCATAATATTAAAGGTAAATCAAATGGGAAAAGTCTTGTTTTTATATGGATAACATAAAAGTCAGCAACAAATGACATTGGATGGTCCACAAAATGCTTAATTTCCATTCATTTTTGTAGATTAGTGTAACTAGAAATTCAATATTGCTTGGAGCCAAAAGCCTCTTTTTTAGAGGGTTATTCACAAAGCTGCCAAAACAATCTAATTTAATTGTTTCAGATTGGTTCCAGGTACACACAATGGCTTCACAGGTTGAACTGAACCTTATGTAACCTTCTGTTAAGTAGTTTATTGCACCCTTACACTTCAAAAGAACAGTTTTGAAAGTTTTAAGGGCTGAGGTTTATAGCTTATCAGTATAGAACTTTTGACAAACAGTTCAGTATAAAGAAGCAACTAAATGCATACTATCCTTGAGACTCCAATGTAAGCAGCCATACTCTCACTCATGTGCCTCTTACTAGTTCCTGCCAGTGTAGATAAACCTATAACCTGAGTAACTACCAAAGTTTAGTGTATAAGGTTGAGCTGGGGGGGGGGGGGGGATTTACTGAAGGAGATAATTTTTCACTAAGCCAACAGAACCTGTGCGTGCTGTGAACTCCAAGTCATTTGCATAGAAATGTTGAAAAATACCAATATCCTTTGCTTCCTATACTTTGGATGTTTGAAGTGAATACAACTACGGCATACAATGAAAATGTACTCCTTTAGTATATCTACCCAAGGTATCATCTGCTTAAGTGTCATGACACAGGTGTGTCATGACAAACTTCCTTTAAGGGAATTTATATTTAAATGTGTTGATTGTGCACATTGTTTTGCAGTCATCAGCTTGAATTAGCATGTCAATTTCAAAGGTTCACTTTCTGATGAGCCACATTCACTTTTCTGCTGATATAAATTAAAATACAAAAAATATCTTCGAATTGAGCTTAAAAAGAATCCAACTGACACCTATGTGTGATTTGTGATAATAAGTTGCTATTTCATCTCATACATGGATATACAAGTTACAGATTTCTCTATGATTAAGCCTTTTTGGCAAAATATGTCAGAGCCTGTGGATCTTGCTATTCTTGTAATGTTTTAGATTCCTGGGAATAAGCTTTTTTTACATCAAAGTCCTGGCTGTTGAGTGCAGCTATTACTAGTGATGACCGTGGCGTTCCTCTGTTGCCCGGCACCCGTCTTTTTGGACAGGACCGATGAGTTTGGGCATACGAATATGAGAGGTGTCTTTTTCAAAAACTTTCCTATTGCAGATTTACAACTTACAGATGCATTGGTATCTTTTTTGCAGGGTAAGAACTTGATTCCACCAGTAGCAGGAGGTAATATGAAGCTGAAGTATTCCATGTACATTGGTGAGAAGCCATGCACAGTCACTGTTTCCGATGTACAGTTACTATGCGAGTCCCCAAACTTAACTGGTCGACACAAAGTACTGGTAAGTACTAAATGCATAGTTCTTTTGTATAGGACCACCAGTACATGCAGAATTTAGTGTCTTTGTTATTACCTAACTATTGCTATAGAAATTCCTTAGCCATAAAGACCAAAACATACTATAGTCTGCACAAATGAAAGAACTATGAGGATTGTATAACTAGTGGTTCAGAACAGATTTTATTTTTGTTTAAAGGTTTGTATTTGTTTACCTGTCCAATAACTAGCTGACTAGTTCTGTAGGATTCTGTTTTTTTGCCATCACGGATTGTTTTTGGCCTGATAATAATTAAGCGGTTCAAGCAGAGGATCATTTTCTCCATGTACATTCCAGATAAGTTAGCAGAAGCTGAAATTGCTGTTGTCTTCCACATCCTAGCAATAAATTGGTATAGTGGCTGAGATATGCTGTTGAAACAGAAGAGGCCAGCTTTAAGATTGCAAACAACAATAACAAATGGGCCCTTGTGTGCATTTCATTTTGATCTCTATAGAAGGTCTTTGGCTCGACAATATATAAATTAAAAATTTACATTTGCCACGTTTGTAATTTTTAAAAACAACCCGCTGTAATGTGGAATACCTCTTTATGAAGACAAGCGGGCTTGTTTCTCAAACTGGTATACATTTCAGATTGTTAAAATCAGCTCAGTAAAAGAAAAATTATGATTTGTTGGCTTATTGAATAAGATTGCAATATGATAATAGAGATGGCAGCCTCTCTTCAGCACAGTTTGTTTCCTAAAATACAGTATTGGGGATTTTCTTTGATAGCAGGGATAGAATCTATAGCATATCTATAGCAGTACCCCTTGGTTAATCCTTTATAAAAAAAATATTGCGAGCCTTACAGTTAACTAATTTACATTCTTTTTTACTCTCCATTTAGGGCACAGGGTCTAATCACCCTGATTAGGGTCTTGGGTCTTGTTTGTTGTGTAGAAGCATGACTTTTTTTTAAATCCATAGTGCCAATGTTACCTTAGAGAAGCAGTAGTAATTTGTTAAAATTCATTTTGAATTAATATTTCTGTTCATCCCATAAAACTGGTATGCCAGGAGGTGCCAGTATAGCTTGCAGTATATTGATATATGATACAGTTCCTCTCTCCTGCTTTACAATTAAATGGGAAACCCTATTCACCCTAGGTAAAAAAAGTTACATAAAAAGCTACTTAAGAATAAATTATGCATAGCCATTTAAAGTGTTGACAATTATCATTAATATGACACACAGTACTTAATATGAGTTAAAGGTTTGTTATAAACATGTATATATATAAAACCACTGAAGTGTCAGACTGTTGGCTGCATATCAAAGAAGACAAGGTTATCAGTTACAAATGCTGGTTAAGGGAAGACTGATAAGACTGGACAGATTTTAGCTTACGTATTGTATCTTGTCTCTGACACACAGCCACACTGCCATATCCATCCCAATGGATTTCTATTATTGTCCAAAGGCCACATCTGATTTAATCCCCAAAGTCTTAGAGGACAGATTAACTTTTCTGGCCATCTTTAATATATTCCTCTGCTCTTGGAGATAGAGTTATTTAAGCAGCTGTAGCCTGATTCATCAAGCCACACCTACATAATTATCTGTGTATTTTTTTTGTCTTTAAATCAACAACAAAAATTATTTCTGATTGGATGTAGTGAAAAATGTTCATTGTTTTTTAAGTAATGCTGTGCTTTGCACATAACCGTTTTGCACCATAACATAGGCCAGTATGGGTAGATAGTAAACTATAGATAACCCTGAAGCCCTTTATTATCTTGTACTCATTTTACAGTTCTGTTCAACAAAGAGTTAGATGTACCTCTATTATTGGTAATCTATTCTGACACAGTCTATTGGGGGAAAAAAAATTAAAATGATTAGGGGCATATCTTTCCGAGCTCAAAGGATTATAGCAATGTCTACTGACATACAGAATAGTTTTGTCATAACACTGTTCCTGTGGTTTTGGCTGCCTGGTTGACTGCAGGAGGCTGAATCAAACAATCCCTATTGCTAACATCTAATACTGCAGTAAAAGGATTGTATAAAAATAATCTGTATTCAATAGTGGAAGGTCTAACAAGAAGTTTACCACCTTCTTGCTGGCACAGAACGCTACAGAATTTCACCTACTAGAGAGGAAGTAGTAATGTCATGATTTGGGAACAGTAAACTCTGGGTCTTGCGGAGCAGTATATATGACTGAATTAGTAACGGGCACGGATACAGGTCTCTGAAGATGCAGGGACCGCACAACAAACGCAGGTGTGCCAGAGTCGCAGGATCTAAGGAGCCGCTTGGTCTTCACCAGAGCCACTGATGCTCCCTCTGACACACCCATGCAGGCACAGTGCCAGCAGGTACTCAGGGTCTACAGCACACTGGACAAGACACAGGGTACATACAGGATACAAGGTACAGAAAAGAGGCACTAGAGAGAGAACGCAGGGAACAGATAACAGAAGGGAACACACAACAGGTGTGCCCGCAGGGACAAAAGATACACAGGTACAGCAGAGGAGAATGCACTAGAGAAAGGAGGGAGGTGCACTGTAGTGCAGAGCAAAATAGCCACAGGAAGCAGGAGCAGGAGGCAAACCACAAAAGAGAGCACCTGGGACAGGAGGCAAAACCCAGGCCCCGAATCATGGCACAGGGAAGTGTGACAAGTGAGGGAGTGACTCAATAGAAAGTGGTATGCTAGTGATTCTGCCTCTGGCAAGTTGTCACCAGCAACTGGTTCCCCATCTGACATGACCCTTAGGTAAAAGAGCTTTGTTCATATTTTGAGTATTTGTATTGACACAATCATGAAAACTGGTTACTAATTCAGTCTTTTCAAGTGTATTAAAATTGATAATCTCTTAGCTTATGCTAGACTGATTAGTTTCTGTTCCCTTAATATAGAATGAGTTACCTTAATGAATCCTGTCATAATGCATGGTAGCCTGTTGTTAATGCAACGCATAGTGTAAGTGGGCCCTTAAGGTTAGGGGAAAGATTTTCCCAAGTTTTACAAAAATTCTTACTAGGTGATCCTGCCAGTCACTATACTTCCCTATTAAGGCTGACAGTTTTACACCTGCCTTGCAGCCTGCCATGTGTGCTCCTTTAGGGGGACTTCAGAACGGCGTGCCAATTCACAGCAAGCCTGTAATCGCCCTTTTGTCAGCCTACCATGTCATTCGTCATTGTAAATACATTCCAAAAGAAAACACAGATCCACCCCTTATTATATCAAAGTATATATTGGAGGGTTCTATTCAGTAGAATTTACCTATACTGTAGGTGTGAGGGGGTATTTTAAGTGTTAAGGAGTAGATTAAGGGGAAAGGTTCAGGCAAGGAATTGAATGTTGAGATAGGAGTTAGGGCAGGGTGAAGCTCAGTGTCCTGGGTGTTCACAGTGTCATTTTTATGTGTTTTTGGCCCCATGAAAAAATCCACCATACAAAGTGCCAAAAACTAGCATACTAGTCAGAGTCATAATTTTTAGTCCTTGGGTTCCCATGTCTCACTGAAGTAGACACGAGTTTGTTGCTTTAGTTACTATATCCGCAGTCAGACTGGCCACATATTGGCCGATACAAAATGGCCATGTCTGCAAACACAATTATCTTTGAGTTTGAAGTGGTATCAAATAAGGCATCCCTGTAGATTTCTAGGATTCTTAGTCAAGCCTACAACTTGCTGGCAAGAACAAGAAAGGAGCATTTATGTCTAAAGGGATGATGTGATAAAACATATTTCTGTGTCCCTTTCTTGCCCTAACCTTGGTACATTTACTTTTGTACATGTTCCCGCTAAAATGAAGGCATGCACAATGTATAAATCATGGCCTGCTGACATTTGTTCAACCAGTTACTTTTTTATAAAGATTTGTGTATATTTTATTTGTGTACATGTATGCATATACGCTGAAAGTCTGTGTCTATTGTATCTAATTGGTCATCTCTTTGTAGGCTCGAGTTGGTGGAATGGAATTCTCCCCTGGCATGGTTTATATAACACCCGATAGCCCACTTAGTGTACCAGCTATCGTCAGCATTGCTGCAGCAGGAGGACTGTTGATCATTTTTATTGTGGCTGTGCTTATAGCATATAAACGCAAATCAAGGGAAAGTGACTTAACACTAAAAAGATTGCAGATGCAAATGGACAACTTGGAATCACGGGTGGCCTTGGAATGCAAAGAAGGTGGGTTTTACATAGCAAAATTTCCCTGTGTGCATTCAATTCACTTTTCAAAAATCAAGATTGGCCTTGGAATGCAAAGAAGGTGGGTTTTACATAGCAACATTTCCCTGTGGGCATTCAATTCACTTTTCAAAACCTATATTTACATGAAGCAGGCAAATATAATTTCTATAATTTTTGTAAGCAAAGGTTCCAAGTCAAGCTCAGAAAAGAACTGATTGTGCATACCATTGATGATTGAGATGGAACATGCTACATTATAGGCTGGGGGGATTAGCGACTTCAACTGTGCTGGAAATCTAACATTGTCTTTTACATTGCATCAGAAATTATTTTGGGGCGCCAAGCACTTTTACACATGGAACCACTGGAGCTTCTTTAGAATTGATCCTTCACAAGCAGACAGACTGTTTTTGGGGATTGCCCTATTAAGCACAAGTACTGGGGTGTTGCACAAACATTCACACCTCCCTTCAATCAGCATCTACCCTGACACATTGCATAAAACTATAGTTATTCGACTAAGGTGATTGACTTACCCATGTGGCTATAAATGCTGGGGTATATTTTTAACATGCGTTAGAAGCAAGGATGCCACTTGGGTGAGTGGTGAAATGTCTTCAACATTACATAACAAATACAGTAAATATGACTAAGAACTGTTAGCTTTAATATGTCCCTTAGTGATTTCACAGCTAGTAGATGATAGAGATTAGGGATTACCATTAACTGTAAGTAATTTACATATAATATAAATTAATTGATATTTTTTATTGACTACTGATGCTGCAGTCAATTTAAATTCTGTGAAATATTAGACACTGTTATATTCAACTTCCTGATTTCATTCACCTTTAACCTTTTTAGTGTATGTATAACATTATAAATTAAATTCCAGGATAAATAAAAACATTCACAAACATATTTATTTAAAAAAAAAGTTCAGTGGAGTATACTCCATGATTGGATTTACCTCCATTCCCTGGTATTGCCCCCAGTTCTTGTAGTAGTTATAATACAATTTTGCTGCATTGGGCGCAAGGGGTAATATTATAAATATGACCCTATGGGCCATTTAGCACCGATGCTAAAAATGTAGCACATCTGCCTTGTAGCTTAGGATACTGGTATTTAATATTAGGATACCTATGTTCATGGAAAGTGGCTTTTTTTCCCCTTATTTGCATGAGTTTCCTCCAAATTATCTGCTTTCCTTCCAAAATCATGCTGGTATTTTAATTGTTTTTCTCCCAAATTGTCCCTAGTGTGTGCATGAGTACTAAAAGGATATTAGATTGTGAGTTCCTATGGAGGACAGGGGCTGATGTTGATGGGTCTATGTGCAAACATAATTTGTTGATTCTCTGTAAATGCTAGAAATTAAAATAAAGATAGAAAGAAAAAGGTAATGAAACTAATATATTAACACTATCTTATACAGCCTGGGAGTGTAGGGTAGCCAGGTATACTGTTTCCCAAGGAAATAGAGTTGCCCATAATTGACTTAGTATATGAGAATATTGTGGAAGAAGTTGAGCTTGTGAAAACAGATCAGCTGGGCACAGATGAAAATGGAACTGGTGGTGTGACAGCCTCCCAGCATCACAAGATTATCATTGTACAGCACAGTTATTAAAGTTGTGAAATGTTTTTCCATTGTTCCTTTTTACATTGTCAGTAGACTTTAATTTAACAATACTATATTACACATAACTTTATTTGAATTATAAATCATCCCAAATTACTATACAAAGAAATCAATTTATTGCCACTTTGAGTGTTTACTTTTGAAGGTTGTTTACTGAACATACTGACTCCCCGTCCCCTTTACCAGGTTTATGAGAGCAATGTTAGCCATATGTAGGTGCTTTAAAAGCCTTATTAGAGATTACTTGTTCCATTTTTTATTACATTTAAAATTGTCACTGATGGGGTACAGCACATAAGGAACATGTTGAAAGGGTTTTTGCAAAAGGCAAACTTAAATACTTAACAAGTTCATTTTTTTTTCTCAAAATGGGATCAAATTGATGACCTTTAAGTGTTTTAGCTAAAGTATTTTATTAGTATTCTACAACCTGTTTTCAATTGCATTTTCTGTGTTATTAGCAGGGGTAGAGCTGGCAATAATATATTGTCATGACAACCTGGTGTTAGAGAGGCTTTCCTTGGCTCTGTGAACACTGGGAAGGTTAAAGTGTTAAACCCAGCATTTCTAAGCCTTGTTTCTACTATTCTTGACCACATTTAATAACATTAATGTCGAAAGGATTTTTTTTTGCTAAAACATATAGATTAAGTATCTTGTGCATTTTTAGAATACATTTATAATACAGTGCAGTGTAAAATGTGCTAGGCTTGGAAGTAAAATGAAAGGCTGAAACATAGTTGTTAAATATATAAAAATCCATGCATTTTTATTTATTTTATGAAAATCTTGCTGAAAATCTTGCTGAAAATGTGTATTGTTATAGCTTGTGTATCTCTTTATTGCCCTCTAGAGGAGATCAATGCACTTTGTTAGAATCATATAAGTTCAAAAGAAAGACATTTGCCACATAGTTACAGATGTCAGTAACATCCACTAAACAAATGTCAACAACAAGTTTATTTCTCACATAAAACAATTACCTGCTATTAACTCGTATAAAGGTATTTGTGAGGGTCATAACTTTTTTTTTCTTGTGTTTTAGCATTTGCTGAGCTTCAGACAGATATCCATGAGCTGACAAGTGATCTAGATGGAGCTGGTATTCCTTTTTTGGATTATCGTACATACACCATGAGGGTGTTGTTTCCTGGCATTGAAGACCACCCAGTACTGAGGGACTTGGAGGTACTGTTATGGCCTAGATACCATATTAATATAAATTATGGGGTTGATTTACTAAAGGCAAACAGGCTGTTCATTTTGCAAGGGAATTGTTCCTTAGCTTAGTTAATGTGGTGAAAATCCACTTTGCAAAGAATACCCAATCACGTGCAAGGAAAATTAAAAAAAAGTATTTTGCTTGCACATGATTGGATAATGGAAGTAAGCAGAGCTTCACAACATTCCTTAAACTAAGGGAAAATTCCTTTGAAAAGTGAACAGCCTATTTGCTTTTAGTAAATCAACCTCTATGTGTGCATGACACATTTCCAGTAAATCATTTAAGTGCTGGTCCATACTTGACAATGGGATTATTATGTTATCATATTATCATGCTAATTGTTATCCTCAGCTATGTACAACTGGCAGGTCATTCTGAATATATACATAAACTGTAATTTTCTATTAATTTTGATTTTCAAGAACAGGTGTCCCCATTGGAAGACTTCCCGTCTCCTCTTATTCTAGGTACAGCCGTAAAAGTTTGGATTTCCCCTCTCTTTTCTTCTCAACAATAGAGGACACTGGGACAAATAGTAGAGTGAATCCCCCAATGAGGACAAAGACAGCAAAAAAAAAACATGACAGAGGGTCTAATTATTACTATACAACTTTACTTTAGTGCTCAGTCCTTTTTTTCCATGTATAAGAGCCACAGCTCTCATAGCCACAGCGGACCAAAAGTACAACAGCTATATTATCCTGTGTACACAAAAGTTGTGATTTTAAAGGACGCGTCAGCAATCAGAAAATGTGATACAATCAATGGCAGAAAGCTTTTCTATGGACACCTAGGGGGTAATTTACTAACCTAAACACACGCACGCACTAGGTGCGTGTGATTTTTACACAGCAAAACGTATTTATCAACCAAAAAGTCTCTAAAAGCATATTTCCACTCATGCCATATATGGAAAAATCATGCACATGATGCATATATAATGCTGCTTCACAGTTTAGACAAAAATGGTTAGCTCATGCATTTACATTCCTGCATTCATCAACGCAAGCAACACAACATAGAGCTAATTTACACAACATCACCTTGCAAATTCATGCAGGGCTTTGCACAACACACCTGCTGGGTGTGTACACACTACAAAGGTGTTTAGATTCCACCCATAGATCATGCTGGGAGGGAACACACTACAGAGGTGTATACATGTTCGTGGTGTGTTTATAAGGTTAGTAAATCAACCCCCTAATATTAATATATATTCTACTTTAAAGTCATCTTTATCTGTGCATTCATTTTCATAAATATCATCTTATATTGATGATAAGCAGGGTTGAAACTGCTGTGGTTGCTGGGACTTTTGAGGATGGATGCCCAAGTTGTGACCCCTATTGCCTCTACTGATGCATAGCTGTTAGCCTCCATGTACTGCTGGGGCAATTTGAGAGATTTTTGTTACCTTTTTATTATGTATATCAGCCAACAGAAACATTCCTGTAAGGGTGAAGAGTTTGGAGGGTTGAGAATTATTTGCAGTACTTGAATTAAAGAGCTCCTGTGTTGATTCTACATAGACACGGAATGTTTATTTTGGAGCTAACAGTTTTGAAGAACTTCCTCTCTTTTTTCCATCAGTACAAACTATAGTGATCATGCCTATTTCAGTAATCAGCCATTTCAACACAGATGTTTGGAAATGGCCAAGTGGCAAAGTTTTGCTCTATCCTGATGACACATAAATGTATAACAAATATAATATAAAAGAAAATACACTGCAAATCATTTATAAATACTGTAGAATGACTTTAATGGAAATTATTTTGTTACAGTCTCCTGCTAATTGCCTCACAGTAATTAGTACAAACAAGAACAGTTCCCTGGAAGGGATGTCTTTTGAAGTTAATTGCTGGAAAAGGGCCTCTCTACAACTCATATTCTAGACATGTTATGCAGCCCACTCAATTTGTGTGCTTTTTCTAATTACAGTAGCTTCCAGCCGACATTTATTGCTGAAAAAGAAACTTTTCTACGGTAAACAAATGCGCCTGACTCCTTTACTTTAGTTAGGTTTAGTCTGACTGGGTTTAGGGACGAAGGGGTTTCTTCTCAGTTAGATCAGTCAGGGTCCGGAACTCGCTGCCACATGCTGTGATTTTAGCTGAGAGTGTGGAATCATTCAAGAGGCGATTGGACGATTTCCTGATTTCCTCAGAGAACGTAATATACAGGGGTACAAGTACTTTTAAGAATAAGAACAAACAGGGACCTATACATAAGAGCACATCAGTAGGACCATACACATACACACAATAGGTTGAACTTGATGGACATACGTCTTTATTCAACCTCAAATACTATGTAACTATGTAACTAGTCTGGATTTGTTGGCACTCGTATAAGCGCTGTATTTTTTTTTTTTTAAACATGCAGTCTAAAATTAACATGCGCTGCAGCAGGATGTACTGGATCAAAGTGATACACGGGAACTTATTTGCAAGACTTTCTTGATCTAATTTATAAGTGCGACCCAAAGCTGGTTTTCAAAGCAGTCAGCGCTAAAAGAAAGAATTAAGCTACTGATGAATGCTAATGACGTAAATAAAAAATAGACAATATACTTGTTTGCATTTAGTACATAATATAATATACTTGCATATGCTCCAAGACAATGAATCCTTTCTCAATTAGAAGAACTATTATGAACACCTTGAATTTTAGCAGTGCAGAAAAAAAGGGTTCAGTGAATTTTGGCTCTGAAAAAATGTCACTGTTTCACGGTTTGATTTTAGATATGGGTCTGTGTTCCTTATTAGTATTCTTTTTTACACAGTATTTCAGGGCTCTGATCCAAACTTTAGTATCTTTGTGTTTCTTATGTACAGATTTTTTTAAAACACTACTAATGCACAGTATGATTTTTTTTTTCATAACAACAATCTGTATCTGAGCACTTTCAGGTTCACAACTTTCAAAACAAGGTGGCTCTGGCCACGGACGGAGCTGAGTGATCACAATTGATCCGGTTCAACAGACTGCAGAGGTGACATTAGGGGTCCAATAGACCCCTGATGACTCATTAAAGAGAACCTGTCACCTGCACTATGCTATTAAATAGGTAGTTTATCACCCCTCTTGTGATTTGAAGCATCACCTGTGTAATGTAGTTTTTTTTGGAGGAGCGCACAATTTTTGACATTTATGGTATGTATTTACTCGATGCAACCATATCTTTTATATTTTACCAAAATAATGGGTGCTATATTGTGTTTGTGTGGAGTAAAATGTATTTGATTGTTTTTTTACTGAAAATAAAGAATTCTCTTAAACAATAGCTCAATTATTTAAACAAATTGTTACACTTGTACTGTACTTGAACTTTAAAAGATAAGTTATGGGAGAGTAAAATGTACTCTTCTTAATACTTAGAGCTGTCTTGTGACAATGCTGGTATATCACATGCTGGCTCTATAGATGGAGAGATGAGCGATCACAAACCGATGATCACTCAGTTAATGGTCTTCTCCCTGCAGAGAGCGGTGACTGTCAGCCACAACCCCCCCAGGGATTCCCCCTCCCCTCTGCGTTCCTCCAGCACCTATTGGAGGGACAGACAGTGGCTCAGGCCCTACAGAAGCAGTAGTAAACTGTCAATCAGGCAGAGGAGTGTTGGGATCCTTCCTGGCTGCAGTGCGCCTCTGCACTGTCAGCATATAGTGGGCAGTAGTTCACTAGATGCTGACTTTGGGTCACAGGAGTATATTAGTAAATGTACTCCTTTGACCCAAAACAGGACTGAAGCCAAAAAAAGGTTTGGCTTTAGTTCCCTTTTATGTATTTTTGTAGCAATGTTCTGTCAGCACACCAACCGATTGTTTCTGATTGATATTACATGAGCAAAGTTTCTTTAGTTGATTAAATTACTTGCCTGTGATTGTATATACTCTATATTAGGATTTTTTTGCAGCAACAAACATGCCTGCATTTATTTGTTTCCACAGGTTCCCGGCTACAGACAGGAGCGTGTAGAGAAAGGTCTCAAGTTGTTTGCACAGCAAATTAACAATAAAGTGTTCCTCCTCTCCTTTATACGGACACTTGAGTCCCAACGCAGCTTTTCCATGCGTGATAGAGGCAATGTGGCTTCCCTCATTATGACAGTCTTGCAGAGCAAGTTAGAATATGCCACAGATGTGCTGAAGCAACTACTGTCTGATCTCATTGATAAAAACCTCGAAAGCAAAAATCACCCCAAACTGTTACTAAGAAGGTGAGTCTGACAAATTAATAAACTTGATCATTAGGAAGCCAAAGGAGCATTCATGACACGCACAGTGCTATCTCCTGTTATAACTAGACTTGAATACTTCAAAGCCAGATCAATAAAAGATGAACTGAATGGTTGCTGTGGATTACTACTGTTTACCAATTTCTCTCATTAAGTAAGTCTCTAGTGTTTGTTGTGTAGTACTATACACACAGCCAGCTTTGTGCAACCATGCATAACTGTGAGGTACTTATACTTGGTCTGGAAAAATGGTATTGGTGTATCCCTAATATAATGTATATACAATGTCTGATCACCATGGTGCACTTTTTGTGTTATCTGGTCACTTAAAAATATTTGGAATATACTCTTAGAGACACTCTTGTTCCTTTTTTGTAGTTTTTGATGTTGTGACTGCGCTCACCTCTTGTAGTTATTAACGTGTAAAATGCAAGGTATAAACATGTAAAATGCAAGGTATGTATAATGCTACAGCAGGTGACACTGTAGTGTTTTTAAACACCCAGCATCCTGATTGTATGGGTGCGGTTAGGTGGTTTATACCTTTAGTTTTTATTGTTTCACTGAAGTAAGGACAATATATATATCTATATATCTATATATATCTATATATAGATATATAGATATACATATATATTTTAGAATATTAAAATAGATTTCCATCCAAAAACCTTTATTTATTTTTTGTTGCTTTTGATCACATAGGGAGGGGTCAGAATCTCTGAGTGTTCTTGTTTTCCCCATCTTGTTTCCCCCACCCTTTTCCCCACCTTTCTTAAATTGCTGGCCTGTTTCCTATCCTACTGACCAGTGAGAAGGGAAAAAGCCATCACCCTATTCGGGGCACAGATAGCAATGATAAACCTGACAAAGATTGTAATTCTTCCCCACTCCCTATTAAAATAATATAACAACATTTTGCAGGAGTTTTGCTTTAACAGTATATTGCATTTGTGTGATCAGTAACACTGGCAGTCCTATTCTCATAGTCTTAGGTACTAACTTGTAACAGTAAGAGTTTATCAAGTACTGGTCTGACTTCAGTACAGTGAATTCTGAGTGTTTGCTATGGGATACTGTTCTTATAAATGAACACCTACAAATAACTCTTTAATAAATAAGGCTGTAGTGACAAATTACTTGGCTATGTGTTAAGGTTATAAACAAATTGAGAAAAATGATTGTGTTCTAGATGCATATGATGGCTGGATGCAATGTTAAAGGTATATCACTCATTAATATGCCAGCTTCAGCAGACAGTATATCTCGTTTAAGTAGGGGGTCACCTGGGTCAGCTTTACAAGTCCAGAAAGCCAGTTACTCTTTTGTTAAGTAATCTTGTATGCAGCACTATTTTTAGCGAGAATATTTTGTTTTGCTTTGTGCAAAGGTCTACTGGGCCTTAGTCCACAATATATTTTTCATAGCAGCTGGCAGGAGTGCAACACTGGTTTTCATTTATATTTATTGTACTATTATTGTGCTTTTTACAATTCTGCATTTTGCTGTTCTGTTCTTGTCCCACCTCCCTTAAAATAGTATTGCTTGTCATTAATGATTCGTATGTACATGGAACCCCTATGTGTACAGAATAAAACAATCACTTCAATCACTCTAAAGTGACTGTCTCCCCCGGTAGGGCATTTTTTGCATCAGTCAAAGGAAGAAATATGAGAACAGAACAAGGCAGCTTTCTTTAAGATCCCTCCTTCTAAGTTGATAGTTGATTGGTTGATGGCTCCCTTTCCACTGTGTATAATTGAATCTGAACAACACATTGTTGTGTTTAAGTATGTGCACTTAGGTGTTATATTTATTGTGACTCCATGCTTAAGAAAGGGTCAGTTTGAGCTGAAATGTTATAGAGTTTTATGGAGCTGCTTTATCATCCCAGATAATGATACAATATCGTGTTACTATAGGGAAAGAAATTGATCCTGCTGGTATTTGAAACTGGAAAAACACACGTTCAAAATGCTACAAATAAAGTCCTTGTTGGTCTTTTAGAAACGTTGGCATTATACCACTAACGAGTCAGAGTTCAGACACAATATGGCTCCTACTAACGCCCAGACAAAATAACAGGGTGGGCAAGATACAAATAGTTCTAGGTGTCTAGTTTATGAACTAAGTTGCCTACTTGCAGCCCTCCCAGTTTCAGGAACTAATATAGCATTGCTTATTCGTATAGAATAAAGATTTTAACATTAATTACTTACTGTAGAAAAATAATTTGATAACACTTGGGTTCTTTTTTCACTGCCCCAATTCCTTAAAGGCGGCGAAACATACCCTGTTTTCGCCGCACACGCTCCCGCCCGAGAATCCGAAACTGCTCTGGCTGCCACAACGCATCTTGGGCCGGGCGCATGCGCAGTTTGGATTTTCGGCCGGGAGACGAGCAGAGACACAAGTTAAGTCTATGGACCCGTGCCCCCGCATGCAGACACCGCTGGATCGGAAGTGCCAGCAAGCAGAGAGGAGTCAGCGCTGGAGGGACAGATGAAAACACCCGGAAAGAAGAAGAAGATCGGATTAAGAAACCTCATTTAAGGTAAGTGCTAACATTAACATTGGGGGAGGGAAAACATGTTTTGACTTTAATGTCCCTTTAAGCTTCTGATGTATTAATAAGTACAGTATATCATAATGGAATGTTACACTGCTTCCTGTGCCATTGTTATTCCCTATTGAAATAAAGTCTCTATTTATGCAAATGTTGTGTATCAGGAAGCTTTTAGTAACTATACACTGAGCCAGGAATAGTGTGCCGAGGCGTGTGACATGTGCTTTAGCTTGGTTGCCATTTAGGCAAGGAGGGCCAAAGCAGTGACACCCTCCCCTGCATCCTTTGTAGTTCAGCCAAAACCAGCCAGTGCAAGATGGCTATATTAACACACCTGCCTTTTGCATATGTGAGACACACTGTTGATTTACATATTTATATTTTTTAAGTAACAAACCTAGTTATACATTTAAATGATTGCGGAATTCGGAGCCGCATATATCCTGTGCACTGCTTCTGGGAATACTCTGCATAAGGTGTATTAGGCATAGAAATGTATAATAATTAAACTTACAACATTCTTCACTTCTGTAACCTTATCAAATGAGCACAGCATCTTCAGTCTCACTGGGCTTTTCACAATATCCCCAGATATGACATTTTGTGATGATCACATAACATTTAGAGAACATTTAGAAGTGAGTAAAAAAAGATACATTAGGCTGATAGTGAGGCATTATTTGTGACATTTTAAATAGTATTAATGATTTAATTACAAGAAAATAAGAAGGGTATTGACCAATCATGGTTAACATGGGAAAAGAGAACTTTCTATTGCACATAACATGTATTCAATTCACATTTATGTGCTGGATACAAGAATGAGATAATCTAATTTGTGGTTAACACAGTCTATTCTGCTTTTAAATCTTAAGCCTTCATTTTAGAGGTCTAGTGCAAAGTTATGTTGCAATTCAATTGAATTTAGTGTTCAGCAACACATTATTAATATGAATAAATCAGCTCAATGCAATTATTATGGCTGCATGAAGTAAAGCTCTATGGGTCTATAGGTGATCGGTACACACTATTGATTATTTATGTAGTTTTTAAATCGTATTTCATAGCTACAAAAACTATTCAGTGCAACACTGCAAATTCAGAAAAAGCTGTTTTAACCTGAATGAAACAGTAGCCCATATAAAATATATGCATCATAACAATAGTATTCCATACATTTTGGCTCCCTGCTGACATAAACAAAGCACAACACACTTCAATTTGTGCATATGCTGTTTTGTAAAATTGTTTTTCTTGATATTTGATTGCTATATATAATACAGTGTATTGAAATCGATATGTTATTACACTGATTGCTATTGACAAAGGGTGAATTACAGTCAAAGCACAAACTATGCAAAACAAAATCCTGCTTGAAAACATTTGTAAACATTTTGTAGGTGTACTGTATCTCCTATGGAAGTAAAGTACTTGTTTCAGAAATTCCAGTTCAAACTTCTTTTAGCGCTATATGGATCAAATACACACGAGAATATGCAAAAGCTGGCACTGGAGTTGGAATTGATAATGTTAATGATATTGCGCTTTACTGTTTCATGCTGGTTTTTTTAAAGCAAAGTTTTGCATGTGGAATAATGTTTTCTTTTACTGTGTGGAACATTTGACTAAATAAATATCACATAAACAAGTGGGGTGTACCTAGTACAACACTATTTTGCTGGATATGAAGAATGTCTGCATACTGCTTACCTAGGGATCTTGAAATGTATCAACAGGTTAAGCTGTCCGTGGTGCTGAACTGGCTGTATCTAATTCATAGTATAGTGTGAAGAGGCAGTTCTTTGTAATTCTCACAAGATTAGTGCTTAATAATAGAAAGGGTATCTGCCGACTGTGAGGCCAAAGGATAATGCCCACAAAAGCTAGAAGCCTCACCTTGTTACAAGACTGTATTTTAATAATGTAATAACTACTTCTTTTCTGCAAAGGAACATAGCCGGTATATTAGAATCATTAAAACAAATCCTCAAATATATTGCTGCAGATTGGTCAAATGGAATAATAAAATGCCTGTAAAGGATTAATCTATACATGTCATTCCCTTTCGGTCAAACGGTCAATGGTTTTGACTAACGGTCAACTTTGGGTTTGAGTGGTAGCACAATACTGTGCCCACACTAAGGCCCCGTTCACATTGAGCGATTTATCGCACGGTAATTCCCGCGATATCGCTGCAATTTACCGCGCGATATCGCTCTCCAATGCACCTCAATGGGGCAAAGGGTCCTGCTGTCGCGGGTCGTGTGTCGCTACAGCAGGACCCTTTTTGGAGCGGATTTAGCCGCGATTCAAGCTTGCCCAATGCAAGCATTTGCGCAATATAGCGCGACAAATCGCGCGATATCGCGCAAAATGCAAATCGTGCGACAAACGCGCTATTTGCGAACCACTCAATGTGAACGGGGCCTCAAACAGTTTTAGCTTGGAAAGGAGATGTTGCAGCAGGTTCCCTTCTAAGTCTAGAAGGTGGTTAGATCATACACTGCTGTCATCTACTGCTTACATACAATGTGACAGGAAACCAGTGGAACAGTGATGGAAGACACTTCAAACTGCTTAGCAGTCTTTATAGGAACAGTGGTACTAATTTTTCCATATAATAAGAGTAAACACACTAAATGGTGTTTTTCTGAAGTGATATCTTCAGAAGAATTACATGGTTAGAATAGTTTTCTGATTTGTCCAGTCAATGTTCCCCATCAAGAGCAGATGACCATGATTTCTTATTGGTTGTTATGGGTTTGTGCTTTTTGGTCTTTATTTTATCAAATAAGACCTCATAATGTAAGTCTTTTGTCTACTTACTTGGACAATTTTTATTTTTTTATTGTAGAACAGAATCTGTGGCTGAGAAGATGCTGACCAACTGGTTTACATTCTTGTTGTACAAGTTCCTTAAGGTACACTTTATATATTATAATAACATATTCAATATGACTGCAGGGATGTTTCTAATGCACCTAGATTTCTAATTAATAGCTTGCTAAAAAGAAAATATTCGGCTAAAGCTACATTTAGTTAATGATGTTAATAAAGCATGAATTCTATTTCGCTATCTATTTAGTTTTAATTCAGTCTCTGCAGGTGCTGTACATATGTTTTTGAAGCTCTTTGTCACAAGTAGTGATAGGCATATGTACCTGTTAATTTGATACAAGTAAGCAAAACTACATTTTTTGCAACCATTAGCCTGTGGTTCATATTTATTATTTTATGCCACTGTATTTCTGCTGGATAAATAACTGATCTTTAAGTTTTCAGAAGCTATGCAAGGTAAGCTGACCACACAACTGTATCATTCAATTAGCTTTTTTATCCCACTTTTAGTAAGCTGATGTGTGCACACAATGTACCTTATACAATCAAATGTAAATGTCTACATTATTACTCATTGTATTGGTTATTAGGTGCATATTTGCCATACTAAATAAAAAGATGTGTGTACTTACCAATTATTTGTCAGAGTGAACATTATATGTGATTTAAATTCAAGGAAAATAACTTGATTTTCTGAAATTCTTATGTATTTTTTGCTTTTAATGTTTATACAGAGGAAGCAGCAGCAGCAGCAATGATGCCACAAATGTTATGTATTTTTAAAGTAATATGAAGTAGAGGGGTCATAACATAATAACAGAACGGAATATGTGCATTTTTCCATGCTCAATTGCCTATTATTTTACACATTACCTTGAAATAACTACTTAAATGACACTATTGTGTTGATTCTTTTGTTTTCCATTTGTCTCTTTTGTTTTCAATTGAAGAAAGAAAGCTGTTTAGAAGTAATGACTCTGGAAAAACTACTGCTTTTTTAAATATTTAGGACACATTTGTGGCAAAACAACCTAAAGATAGACACTGAGTATGACAGTATCCATTTACATGTCACATAAAGAAGCAGTGGTGAGAATTGCCGTTACTCATCTGTAGACTATTTTCGAAAATGAATATGAGGTTAAATTCAAACCATTGCTCCCACTGGGATAATTTTCCTATACATTCAGCAGAATGAGCTTGTGTACTTCATGGCCCTTTTCTTGTATCTCAGTAATGCTTGCAAAGTTATCTTTTGCTTGACAAATTAAAGGTAAATTAAACCATCCCTCAGTTTATTTACATAACTCTAATTGTAAGAGGCAAGGATAATTCTGCATAAACATTTCCCAAACTGCTGTTCTCAAGACCAAAGGCAATCTAGTATCTGTCCCTCACACCTGCAACGCTGGGGTCTTCTGTTTGCCTGTCTGGCTCTCCACTCTGTTAGCTACAAGCGGGAGATCAGCAAACAACTTAGGAGCTTACACAAGCTAGAATACATTTCCTGAACAGGTTTACTGAGCCCAGCTGTGCCCCGGCAATTCTACAGCTTTCATGCTTGTGTAAATAAAATACAACATATAATTATTATGTAATATGTGTCAGTGCAGTGTAATTACCATGAGATTACCTAGCCACATTTCCACAGAGATATGTGCAGGTTCATACTGCTAATTTACCCAATATGAAATAAGACAGTCTTATATCCTATATGCAGCTTGATATTATTGGTATGCTACAAGATAGCCAGGGACAGATCTTACAGTTTTGCAATGTTATGGTAGGCACAGTCATCACTTGGAGCTTGCTTGGGACACAATGGAAGGGGTACGTGAGGTAGGATTATTAATAGGCCACACTGAAAGGGGCCATGGGATAGGTTGCAGCTCACAGGTGCTGTGTTGGACAAGCCATATATAACCAATGAAGATACTGAAGTATACAGTATTGAGCTGTATTTGTCAAGGAGTCCTCCCACCTCCTCTTCTAAAACAGAAAATACATACTTCCTAGAAAGCAGGAAGGAACGACTAGAACGACTAGATAATCGGATGTTACCGAAATATGACTCAGGGGTCTATTCACAAAGCTGCCGAAGGATCTAGCCGTAGCTTCGGCTAATCCTTCGGCTAGCTTCGGCCCTAGGACCCCTTCGGTTCATTAGAACCGAAGGGCTGCTGTACGGGCTATTCACTATAGCCTGTACCGCTCCCGAATCTGGGAGAGCGGCTCAGTCGAGCCGAAGGCATATGCCTCGGCTTGACTGAGCCGAGGTGAAAGCCAAAGCTGGCCGAACGGCCGGACGACAGCTTGCTACGGACAGCTTGTCTGAGCCAGCCATCATCTCACGCCTGGCTCCGGCCACTTGCAGAGACAGATTAGCGTCCCAGGTTACCAGGTAACTAGGGACGCTGATCTGTCATTACTCTCCCGGACACTCCGGGAGTCTCCCGCTATTAGATAGCGGCTCCCGGCCGCCCGGGAGAGAAACACTTTCTCCCGGAAAGGTTTACTCTTAAACCTATATAAATAGCCAATAGGAATCTAGGTATGCATTCCTAGGCCGAATTTTTTTTTAATTATTATTCTCACGCCAACAGCTGTCAGAATACAAAAAAAACAAACTTGTAGATAGCAAAGCAGCTATTGCTTCCTCTGCTACCTGCCATCATTTCAGGGGGGTGCTCTCTCCCCCCTGCATTACAATGAGAGCTTATCAGAGCCGGAGGTGATATGAAAGCCGACTCTGCTGAGCTCTCATGGTACTGACAGTTCAGCATCCCCTGATTACTGGGCAGAATAGCCGAGTGGAAATCGGCTATGCACTCACTACTGTTCGGCCCCTATGAGAATAGGCTTAACAGCAGTGAGCAGCCGGCCGGTGGTTCCGCTCAGCCGATCCAGATGTTGGATCAGTCGAGTCGAACTCCTTCTGCACTTCGGGTCAGCCGAACATGCTGAGCATGTTCGCCCGACCCGAACCCAGCCACAGCAAGCCGATGTACGGCTGATTTCAGTCGGTGTACGGCTGAAATCAGCCGTACAAGCCTGACGTGAATAGCCGAACAGCATTTGGCTCACTTCACTTCAGGTCGGTTATTCACACAGCTGCCTTAGGCAGCTGTGTGAATAACCCTCTTAGTCTTTTCACCACCTGCTTGGTCATGAATTGAAAAAATAATTTTAGTCCTCAAAAGAGCTGCTGCATTGAATCCTGTAATGTGCAATTTAGCAGGAAACATGCAACTTGTGTGTTGATGGTTGTTCTTTTGCCATGCAAAGGTGACATAGATCTGTAACTGTCATGTGTCTACATTTCTTGTGTTTTTACTAGGAGTGTGCTGGAGAGCCCTTGTTTTCTCTGTTCTGTGCTATTAAGCAGCAAATGGAAAAAGGCCCCATTGATTCGATCACAGGAGAAGCCCGTTATTCACTGAGTGAAGACAAGCTTATCAGACAACAGATTGACTACAAGACTCTGGTAAGTTATGTTACACAGGAACACACACAGGAGGACACCTTAACTACTAATTATTTGTATGGGCTAATTGATGATGCTTTATTAAGTGCATGTGTTTTAAGGTGGCCATACACTTTACAACCATCGCAAGACCTTAGTCTTGCAAAGGTTGTAAAGTAATTTAAAAACCGTACGATCTGCCCATCTTGGACAGGCAGATCATACTTGCGATCATCGCAAGCACGCTCCGCTGAGGGGCGAGCTTCCGAACCGGCAGTGCGCATACCGGCCCGTTCGGCATTTGTCTCCCAAGCATGCCACAAACCAGCCGAATATCGTAAGATTTTCGGCTGGTTTTCGAACATGCTCCTTAGACAAAAGACGTGCAACCGTACAGTAAAAACGGTTGCACGCCTTCCATACACTTTGCAATTATCGTACGATCGCGGGATTATCGTGCGATAATCGCACAGTGTATGGGCACCTTTAAAGTCAAATGAAAAATAGAATCACATTAAAAGAGGGACTCGTTTGGCACTAAAATTGTGTTTCATCTATCAACTGTTTATTAAAACATAATGGAATGTAATTTAAAAATGAAGGTTTAAAAGTGAATGTTAGTAGCTTAGGTCACAGCTTTTTGTGGGTGGAAGAGATCACAACTACCTCCAAAAAAACAAGTGTTATTTTAAATAGCTAAGAATGGCTTGCAGCTTATGTTAGGAGTAGAGTTGTAAAGCCTTAGGGGAACTATTTTGTTGGAAATTTGTAAAAAAAAAGGTGAAAGTTGAGATTTGTCAGTTTTCTTACTGTTATGTTCCCATTGGTTAGCTGTCCCCTCGCTTTCAGTCCTAATGATACATGTCATGATTCAAAGACAGCCAAAAGCGTTTTTATTTTTGTCTGGCAGCAATAAAAGATTTTCTAACCCTTCCCCAATCTACTTAAAAAATATAAAGGGAAAAATCAGGAGTTCTATTTTTTTATGCTTTAAAAATGCATGAAACTAATATACTGTAAATTTACAGATGTATTACCAAAATAAGGAACCCATGTCTGCTGCAAAAATTGACTTGAATTAAAAAAAACAGTCACCTGTCTATGATCCAGCGAAATCAAGCAGGTTGCACAGACACTTGTTAAAATCTTCTTGAGTGGGTCTGCACATGCATTCTGTAATTTCCATTCAATCCTTTAAAAAGTTTGTACTCCGGACTCTGGAGTATAGTTACAAGTGCACTTACACTTTGAAGTGCACCTTTGCCTTGCCCTACAAAGGCAAAACAAAAGATTTAGCTTAATGGTTGCATCACTAGTTGGTTACACTTAACTTTCCTATGCTCTCCTACCTGCCATCCTGAATAGGAAAGCAAATGTTTGATATTTTGAAGTATAGAGAAGAATGCAACTCTCTCCCCTTAAATTCCAAATGACAGTGTTGTTACTTGACAATTGGCTGCAGAGACACCCAGCTACATTGCATAGGGGTAAAGAGAGAGGCCACTGTACTGTCTAAACTCCAACTAGGATCAACCTGGAATTTCCACAGGATTCCTTCACTTCACTCACATGGTAAACAGAGTGGCTGGGAAGCAAACTGGCAATAAGTATAAGAGCTGTGGGGCTTGCCTCTTAAGTAAACATATTGTTTTGGGCAAAACACGGGTACACTTTAAAGGGGCTATCATCTGTCCAACACAAGCATTATTTTAAATAAGTCATTAATTTTTGCTAATATGTTTCTACAGTACAACTGACATATTAGGAAAGCATATATTTGCTTAATTATTTTCATGTAATCAGTTGCTAATGTCCCTTCTGCATTTATTACCAGCTTCAATATTACAATTATAATTAATTTCCAATGTCTGTTTAAGCCACATAATTAAAGTTTCATAGAGGAAAATAATTGGTAACCACAGACTGGTAAAAAATGTACAATATGTGATGTCATTTAATATTTATGCTGATTGCTTGTGAACATTTTGCAGTTATGGCTTTAGAAAGTCCCTGGGTAGTCATAATATGTGTGAATTACCTTTCACCAATTAATTAATTAATTATTCTTTGGCTCTTTTCATTCCTTAGCATTAGTAAGGTTAACAATGTTGTCTGCTAAACTTACAGGTCACCAGTGCAATCTCCATCCTGATTAAAAAAAATGTTTTCTCATTTCACTTCTGCATTTGTCATAATATACTAGTAACCAAAGATGACACGCATCCACATTTTGGGAATTAACAATGTTACTATCTTAAAAATATATTAATTATGCAGATTTATTTTAAGTCTCATATGTTAATTGTAATAAAAACACATATTGAATGTATTAAATAGTGTCCACTAAACCTTTAGGCCATATGTATACTGTTGTGATGCAGGCTGCTGTTTGAATTGGCCCTAGTGTGCTTGTGAGATAGAGATCTTAGAATGTAAGCTCTTTGAGGGAAGGGACTTATGTGAATGTGCATGTAAAGTGCTGCGTAAAATTGTCGGCGCTATATAAATACCAATAGTTATTATTATATAGGATTTATATAGCACCAACAGTTTGTGCAGCGCTTTACAATATAAGGAAGACATTACAATCACAATACCATTCAAGACAAGATGGTAAGGATGGCCCTGCCCCTGAGGGCTTACAATCTAAAAGGGAGGAAGAAGTGATACATGAGGAGGTAGCTGTGTGGGGATGAATTGTTTGAGAACATGATGGTAAAGTGGTTAGGTTGAGGTGGAATAGGCTTCCCTGAAGATATGAGTCTTAAGGGATCGCCTAAAGGCAGTCAAGGTGGGAGATAGACGGACAGGTTGGGGTAAAGAGTTCCAGGGGAATGGGAGAGACTCTAGAGAAGTCCTGGAGGCGAGTATGAGAGAAGTTGACAAGGTAGCTGGAAAGCAGGAGGTCTTTGCATGAGCAGAGGGGGCGGTTAGGGTGATATTTTGAGACATGGTTTGAGATATAGCTGGGGGCAGAGTTGTGGATGGCTTTGTAAGTGACTGTTAATATTTTGAATTTGATCCTTTGGGTGAGTGGAAGCCAGTGTAGGGATAGACAGAGGGGGCTTGCAGACACTGAGCGGTTGGTAAGGTGGATGAGTCTAGCAGCTGCATTCATGATAGACTGAAGGGGGATAGCTTGTGTAGTGGAAGGCCAATGAGGAGGGAGTTGCAATAGTCAAGACGAGATATAACAAGTGAGTGGATGAGTAATTTAGCGGTTTCTTTGGTGAGGAAGGGGCGTATTTTGGATAGTGATTGGATGTGGGAAAGAAAGGTGAGGTCCGAGTCAAGGATGACACCTAGGACCTTGGCATGAGGGGAGGGATGGATAGTTGTGTTATCAATCTCAACTGAAATGTTGGGGGAAGGTGCATGGGCAGGAAGAAATATCAAGAGCTCAGTTTTTGAAAGGTTGAGTTTTAAGAAGTGTTGTGACATCCAGACAGATATGTCAGTTAGTAGAATAGTGACACGCAAGGACACTGAGTTGGTGAGTTGTGTAATAATAATTATAATATTAAGTGTTAACGCTGCATAATGGCAACCCATTCATTATATATGGACTGTCAAAAGTACAATTATGGCAGCACCAAGGTTGTGTTAACGTGCATTGCGGTAAAATGGGGTAAAATGCGGTAAAATATATAAATATAGATTGCATTCCTTACTTAAACAAATACATTGCTTGCAATTGCTTGCCTCCTCCTGAAAATGTTAGTTACCTGGCTGTTAAGCTGACCTACAGGTTTTTAGTACTTTCTGAATCACTGACCCAGAACAAATGTGCAAATCAGGAAAGTCAGAAAAAAGTCAACATCTAAATAATTTTTGTTGTGATCAGTGAATCAAAGTGCTGAAGTCAGAGGACCAGAATGACATCTGACAGCTTTTCAGAGGAAGAGGACAGCAGTGGTATCTCCATTAAAAGTTTATTTCTAAAGGGTAATTCCACTTTCGCAAGTAAATTTGGGAAAACGAAATTACCTCTCCAATCTGCCCCCTCCCCCCACTATACTTACATTTCGGTGAATGCTTCGTCCCCTCTGCTGGTAGGGGTGTAATATCAGTACCCTGTACTGCTGTCTAACGCAGCCCTGCACTCTGGAATTTGAATTGCACTCATAAATGGTGAACACTCATTTGTCATTGTGGTCACCTTACCACGCTGACCATTGAGAAGCACATCTTAGGAAGAAGAACTTTTTACTAGTTAGTGTGGTCAGAAGCACTTCTCATGGTCAGAGTGCAGGGCTGTGTGAGACAGCAGTACAGGGTACGGATAGTACACCCACACCGGTGGAGGGAAAGAAGCGTTCACTGAAAGGCAATTATAGTGAGGGGAGGGATGGAGAGGATGCCAGATTTGAGGGGGTAATTCAATTTTCCAAAATCACCTGGGAAAGTGGAATTACCCTATAATGTCAAACAGACCAGTCATGGAAAGGTACTCAGATTTTTTCTGTCCATTACTGGGGAATAATCAAAGTACACTAAAACTTTTCTACAATATTCAAAGACCTGCAATTTACAGGGCACAATGGTCAATTATTGTTTTTTCAGGAGTGCACAGACTGTCAGGAGGTCCCTTTTCTCACACAAAAATGCACATCCACTATTCAATAAATGTCACATGTTTAAATGTAGGAACTGTGACATCAGTCTATCGCTGCAAAAAAGACAAGGACATTGGGCATTCTTTTGGTTCTTTAGCTTGGAGATTTGTCTTTGCATTATAACAGTTTGTAGTATGCAACAATTTCAATATGTGTGAGCTTATTTTAAACAGCCATGCACCATCAAAGCTTGGCACCTAGATCTACTGTATGTGACATTCACTCATACATGTGAGTTCTGACATCTGGCTTTTTAAAAATAAATCAGATTATTCAGAACATGGGTGGAGCAATCATAGCAGTTGTATAACTGATAGGTTAATCCAGAGATGTGCTCATCAGATCAACCATCCATGTTATCCTTACTCCGCTGATGAGTAATGTTTGGCCAGGATAGGCCTAAAAGGACCTCAGCAGCTTTTATGGACATCTTACCTTGAGATAAAGGTGAGCTGGATATCCATGTTCAATTAATATGAAATATTAATGTACTCATTTATTAATCCAAACATACTGTGACATACAGTAAATCAATGTATATTTTAAAATAACAACTTATTTCAGCTTTTAGAGACACGTCGAAATGTCTCTCATACTTAAGAACAATTAACATTTGAAGGAAAAAGTAACACAAATTAATACTATGCCACTTTAATACATAAATTAATCTTCATAAATCTAGATGTGAGCTGGACAACTGCCAATGTTTAGGTGTTTTTACTTTTCTATTACCACTTTTATTACATTTCTAACAAACTATTTAAAAAGAATTGTGTGGAAAAGTTGGTAGAGGTGACATTAGGTGATCACTCGCCAGTCTGCTACCTGCCATTCCTCTGAATTGCAGCAAACATTTCAAATGATTTTTGTCATATTCAGGCGTTTTTGTGTGCTGTGTGCTGCACAGAGTACATTACAGATCTCAGTAACTAATTGAAATCCCACTAGGCTCCTTAAATGAATAGGTCAAATTACAGAGAGCTGGCTGTGACTGAGCTGATGAATAGGATGCGCTGCTGTAGATGATAGATACCCACCTACGATGGAAATGAATGAACAAGAGAGCTCATGAAGCCTGAGGGAGGAAATACCACAGCTATCAGCCCAGAAAACAGACTATCTTTTAAATATTAACATGTCATTTTCATCTGTTACCTGAATGCATCAGACAAGATCTTTAAAGTTTGGGCTTCTGCTCCAATATTGGTCTTACAAACCTATATACCGTTAATAGGATTATTTTCCACTGCTGCAACACACGGCGCTGGAGGGCCATTTGCAATCCTCCACTAGAAATAAAAGGAAACTGTATCTTCAGTATTGCCATGATTATTGTTACTGAGTTATTTCTGTGGAAAATAAATACGAAACAGCAAATTAGTTAAAATGCACAATGTTTCAGTATGTGTGCCTAGCCAGTTTTTATTAATTTTGTTTTGCAATTAAGAGAGGAAGTGCCTACCACAGTATTATGGAGCCCTCTTATGACAAACAAACATGGTATTTCTATGTTTTAATTAGGTGTCATCTGGCACTGTAGTTCTGCTTCCTTCCTTCCTTCCTTCATCCCTCCTCTCTTTTCCTTTTGTTTTCTTTCTTTAGTTCCTTCCCTCCTCCCTTCCTTTTCTGTCCCTTTTTTCCCTTAATACATTTTACAGTACTCAGAGTTACTAAACAGATTCTTGCTTTCTTGTTTTCATACTGTATTGTTAGTAGAAAAAATGGAAGAAATGAAAAGCTGTCTTTGAAACCTGATAAAATGTTCTCTGAAAGTGTTATTGTCCTGGCTGTCAACCTTTACCAGCGTCTCTTGTATTTATTTTTCCATTCAGGTTCTTAACTGTGTTAATCCTGATAATGTGAACAGCCCCATGATTCCTGTAAAAATCCTCAACTGTGACACAATTACTCAAGTTAAGGAGAAGATCTTGGATACCATTTTTAAGAACCTGCCTTGCTCCCTTCGACCAAAGGCAGCAGACATGGATTTAGGTAAATAAGCAAATCATATTGTGCCTTCTATGGGTGGGTTAATATAATTTTGGGTTGAAATGATTTATAAAGAAGAAGCATGTGACACCTGTTTCTCTACAAATGCATTCCATGTATTTACTTTTTCTCTCTTTCATGTGTCCTAATAATATATTATGTTCTTGTCATATATGTAAATTGAAGGCCTCCTTTTAGGCTCATGTGTTAATGCACAACAGTTTAAACAGTGTATTGTGGTGCCATTCATCTAGAATGGCAATCCAGCATACAACTACAGTAGTGGGCAATGAACCAATGCTGCCAACCATTCAGGGGTAGACCAAAATCAGCACTGGTGGGTTTAACTAAATAGCATGGGGGGCATTTTTCAAGCAAACTAGCGACACCGTAGGGAGTAAATCAGGCTGCCTCTCACTTAGCAATGTTTCTGCGACAGGTTTATAGTGTATTTGCGACTAGTGTGTCTGTAATTCTGGATAGACAACTGCAACAGATTTTCAGAGTTCTGAGACAGGTTTATCACTGAAAATAAGACTGAATTTCACTTTAAACAGAAGCATAATTGAGAAGTGGTTGGGGTCAGGTTTTATTTTGCCGCAGTGCTATTTTCAGCCGAAAGAGGAATTTATTACCCAAACTGTAAGCTTGCAATAAATCTGGCACTCAATCTCTCTCATGGCTTAGCTGTGTCTTGCTGTGGGATGACATTTATAAACGTTCCCATATGTGTATTAAGCAAATTACAGTTTCCCAATCTTCCATTTGTTATCAAGTAGGACAGGTAGTTTTTTGTTTCACTGCTTATAAACGATACATATGTCTCAAAAAGTTCTTTATCCTCAATGAGATCAAATACAGACTAAATGGCTTTGTAATTGTTTCCCACTCTAGCCTTAAGTTCTGAGCTGTCTTATCACATAGAACCTGTTTGCTTTGCTCATGATTTGAAATGACCATGGCTTTCGTAGGGGACTGGACTAAACATGCATTGTCTAACTAAAGGTCTTTCCCTAAAGCAAAGTGTGCCTAAATATGACAGCTTGGGGGTGATTTACTAACCTAAACACACTCACGCACCAGGTGCGTGTGCATTTTTACACAGCAAAACGTATTTATCAACCAAACACGAGCAACGTGTCACATTTTCACGCCGTTATGGCGCGTTTTTATGTATTTACATACGTGCGCGTCATGTAGCATGCACCATAGGCTACACGCCGCTCTAATAGCGGCATGCAAGTCTCTAAAAGCATATTTCCACTAATGCCATATATGGAAAAATCATGCACATGATGCATATATAATGCTGCTTCACAGTTTAGACAAAAATGGTTAGCTCATGCATTTACATTCCTGCATTCATCAACGCAAGCAACACAACGTAGAGCTAATTTACACAACATCACCTTGCAATTCATGCAGGGCTTTGCACAACACACCTGCTGGGTGTGTACACACTACAAAGGTGTCTAGATTCCACCAATAGATCATGCTGGGAGGGAACACACTACAGAGGTGTATACTTGTTCGTGGCGTGTTTATAAGGTTAGTAAATCAACCCCCTTGTGTTATCAAATCAATTGATCAGACAAATCTAATGAGTTTTGAACTTGGGATTGGTCCATCAGGCCTACTTGCCAGCATCACATTGATACAGAATATTGCAGCATCCATATGTAGGTACAATTGATCACATTAGGTTTTTTGAAAGTTTCATTAGGGAGGATAACAGTCAGAATATAATCTACTAGATGGTGCAATTTGGTTAGGCTTTCCATAGGTTTTGAAGAACAGTACCCATTCAAGTATGCTCCATTGTCTGCAAATTTCAGTCAATCACCTGAAACTTTTCTTCACACACCGTCGAAGTTCAGATTCTTATCCTTGATAAATTGTAATTGTTTTCACTGCATAGTTGGTGTTGCACAACAAGTTGACACCATGTAAACAAACCCTAGACTCCTTTACAAAATAATTTTGACAACACACTTCTGTAGCTATAATTATTTTTGAATAATAAATGAGTTCATGGCTAAAAATAATCTGCACAGTTTTCATGATATATTCTCAAAGTGTAAAGCAGTGGGCAGGCATGTTATACCAGTGTCCTTGGCTTTTATTTAGGATATTCTCTGAATTTCAGCTTCCTGTAATATTTGAAGCACAGAAATTCAACAATTCACATATGCGGTGAAAGATACACTATCTACTGAATGAAATATAAAGAGTTCACAGCTGCTGTCTTCTGAGTTTGCATTCATCGGCACTTCTGATTGGAAGGAGAGATAAAGATAATGGGATTTTTACTTACCTCTCTCTCTCTCCCTGTACAAGGTAGAGCAGAAACAGATTGAATTGGAGAGTGTCTGTCTTTAGTGTTCTTGCTTAAAGAAGCTCACTGATCTGATGACAATGTACAGGACACACTTTCCTGGTCTTATACTTGGTGAATATGAATACCTTTTGGAGGTCACCTTTAGCTGAGTTTTTCTTCACAGTTTATTGGATCATTCATTAGGAAATATGACATTACTAAAAAATAGATGTCTTCTAAGCTTTCACTGCAATTATATATTTTTTTTTAATCAAATCTCAAAAACTTTGTAACCTTGAAAGTTGAACTAAGAAAATCTTTTTACTATTCCTAATAAATTTTGAGCAGTACATCTGATTGATCTTTCGTAATCAGAGTAAAACACTTCAGTTGGCTGTTGTTTTACTCTACTGACAAGTGTGCCTTACATTTTAGCTCTGTAGAAATTATAAAAATATCTATCTGTTGTAACATAAGTATGCCTAATATTAGGATTTCTGATGAATTGTCAGTAAAAAAAAAAAGATTAAGATGTATAAGACTAAGGTTGTAGCTAAATGGGAAGTTTTCTGGTAAGGTGAATAGCAAATTCTCATGCAAACCAAATTTGATTGCTGCACTCTTGGGTAAAGGAATGGAATCCCCATCATAATTTTGTGATAAGATGTTTTACCAGTTATTTTTCTCAGTTTGCAATAGAAATGCATAGTTTGGTACATCTCTGCCAACTGTAATATTTGTACTTTTTAATAATGGTTGTGACAAACTGAATATAGAATTTTAGCATGTGGATTGGCATGATGTTAGGAATAACCTGGGATTTCTGGAAAGCACAGAAACAGAAAATATTTTTAGACTTCTTAATTTAGCATGTGTTACTTTTTTCTTTAACTATATTAAGGAGAAATAAACCAAAAATGACAAAGGTGCATATGATTTGCTTCTAGGGCAGCTTCATGTTGCCCTCCATGCAATGTATCATTGTCAGTGGCAAGTATAACATTATATAATCCTAGTTACTGGCATGAATGGAGAACTGTATAAACAATGCAAAATTATTTAACTAATGAATGTACAAAATTGACAATAACATAAACTCTTAGGCATTGCCTAAGCGAGTTCATTTTTATTGTCTCTAAAACAGCTTTAAAAAGGAGCTGAACTCTAGAAGGCTGTCAGAGAGTGAAGGACTAGTCATCCGTATTGCCTGTGGGAACCCTGCAGCTTATCTTTTCCCCATTACTGACTTACCATGCCTTGTTCTGCACTGTATCTATGCATGAAGATGGCCATTTTGGTAGAGGCAGGGTTTTGCTTTCTCATGTTTGAGCATCTATCAAGGGGAACAGTGAGCAGCACAGCAAAAACATCACCAAATTCTTCGGACTAGCAGTCAGAAGCAGCAGTGCCTTATATCTCAAATTGCAGATAAACAGCTATAAGGCTGCAGGCACAGGAGTACATAGGCACCCTCACATACCAGGGTTTGCACTGCTATTTTTCAGCACGTCAAGACCAAAGGTTAATTTTTCAGGATACCACTTAGGCAAGCACAATCAACATTCTTTAAATGTTTACTATAACAAGTTATTACATTCAGTAGCACTTTAATCAAATGGAGGCTACACAGAGATTGCAATAATATTAACCTTCAACCTATTTACTTTATGTATTAAACTATTATTTTACAGAATGGAGACAAGCAAGTGGAGCACGGATGATTCTGCAGGATGAAGATATTACAACAAAGATAGAGAATGACTGGAAGAGGCTCAATGTTATAGCACACTATCAGGTACTTATTTTTTATTTAGTATATAAAATGTTGCTTTGGCCACAAGTAATAATTTAAAACATTGTTTTTTTGAGGGTGTTTATACTTTTAAAAAATAGTGCAAGAATTCCACTGGAGCAACATGTGAAATTAAACTGTCCAAATGATTGTTACTTACTAGAATTTGTGTTAATTCTTTTAAACAAAGTGAATGAAATCTTAAAATTGAGCAAAAGAGACAGTAAAGCCCATAGTGGCCAAACAGGTTTAATCTTAAAATTACTGGAAAACTGGAACAAGGAATGTGATTAGTTGTATAAAT